CATAATTTTATCTTCTTTAATCAAATCTTGTTTCTTTAAGAAAATAACTAGTTTAGAAGGCAATGATTCATTTATTGAAAACTCAAAGGTTTCATCAGAAAACTTCTGGCCTTTGTTAATTGTAGGTGTTCTTTTAACAGATTCGTTATCGCCTTCAATATAAAAAACGCAAAACCTATCAACATCTGGAATATTTAATTCATCAACTATTTTGATCTTAACTTTATCGTTACTTTCAAAATTAAAAGATTCATATTTAGATTTATTTTGAGTATTTTTCTTATCATTTTCTCTTGATTTTGGTAATTTATTTAATCCTTGGATAGAACGAGTTTCTGTGTATTTCTTTGCATCAACTGGATTTAATTCGGCAAATTCAGAATCATTTAATTCAGCCGAGTCTTCTTTATTCTCATTAGATTGTATATTTATATTATTTCTTATTTTTTTAGGTGAATTCGCAGCAATTGATAGTTCAACAATGTGATCTTTATTAGACTTTTTGGGCTTTTCAACTCTGATTTTACGATAAATTTTCTTTATCGTTTTTTTATGTTTTTCATTCTCTAATTTTGCAGACCTGTCTTTGATCTCTTCATTATTAGCATTCTCATTTTTATTATAATGATTTGATTCAAGTGTAAGTGAGCTTGACTGCGCTTGCTTTTGGTCGATTTCATTTGGTTGATTATTTGACTTCAAAACTTTTTCTGATTGAATGGAAGATGAAATTTGTAAATCAACTTTATTTTTCGTTTTTTGCTCTTCAGTTTTCGGTGGAAGAATAATATTTTTATTTACAATTGAAACAGTTTCATTATTCATGGTTTGTAAAACAAGATGGGGCGTCTTGGGCGATTGATTTATATAAGCGTTATTAGCATATTGATTTACTCCTCTAGGCTTTGATCTTGAGTTCAATTCTGTTTGCCTATGTGGCTTTTGATTATGAATTTGCTTTTCTTCTTCTGTTGGTTCTTCATCGTAAATATATGTATATGTGTATTCACTATTTCCAGCCGAATAAGAATCATTTGCATTTCTAACCTTTTTCCCTGTAATATGAGAAAGCTTCTTTTGAAGATCTCTGATTTTTGGATCTTCTTTTGTCTCCGATTCTGTGGTTTCGGTTGAATAAAAGTCACTTGCTATTGTTAAACTTTCGAGATCTTTGAGTTGCTCTTCCAAAAGATTAATTTTTCGTAAAACTATTTTTTTTCTTTGGGACAGCTTTTTGGGCTTTTCGTAATTATTATTATTATGCTTATTTTGGGTTGCTGCTTTTCTTGGCTGATTATTATTTTTTGTAACCGTTTTGGGCGACCTTTGAATAAAAATAGGGGCTTGCTTTGAAATTGATAGAGATGGAGATTGATCATTATTCATTAAATTTGGCGAATTATTAAATAAAGCATTTCGTGTTTTAATAACTTTATCTAATTTGCGATTTTGCTGATTTTTAAATAAATTAATCTGATCTTCTAATGGATCTTCATAAGTATAAGAATATTCGTTTGTTCTCAGGCCACTTGAATCTTCATCATATGAATATATGTAAGTATAAGCAGATTGATTTTCGTCAGACAATGTTTCATACACATATGTGAATTCAGAATCATTTGAGATCGGCTGCTTTGTGCTTTTTTTTTGGTATTCTGGTATAAGCATCCCTCGGTTAAAATAATTTTGTTTTTGAAGTTTTTTCATTGATTCAGAATCAATACTTTCATATAAATATGTATACGATGAGTCGTTATCAGCATTATTGAATTGATTTAAATTTCTTCTGGAATTAATTACATCAGAATTTACTGATTCATTAGCATATTCGCTTGATTGAGAAACAGGAAGAAGAACCAAATGAAAATTTGAACGTGAATCATCTTCGATTAAAATATTGTTGCGTTTAGACATATAAATCGAAAATTAAGATATTTGAATAGTTTATAACCGTTTTTGCAAAGAAAATATAAAAAATATACAAATTGTAAATCTATAAAGCACTCAATTCATTTTTGTTTAAATAATCTATAACAATGGTAAAACAAGCTATTTCTTATATGGAAAAAAAGGTACGTTAAGAATCTAAAAAAATACGTTTATTTTCTAGAAAAAGAATCGTTGAAAAAGTTTGTTATAGACATGCTATATAAAAACTAGATAATAATTTTTTACCATTTATGAAATCTTTAAGCTTTTCAGCATGTGGTCTTCCTATATGATTAATTTTGATTATTATTAGCAATTTTCTCATTTCTATCCTAATGAATACAAATCAATGCTATAAACAAACTTCTTTTATTCTCAGCAATTTGAGCTGTCACACAACAATATTGGCTTCATTATATGAAAAAAATTGATTTTACATCATCATTTTATTTTTTTTTTGAATCTGTTTTTTATCATCGTTTGGCAAAACATGAGTTGTTAAAAATCCTGTGACAAACTTTCCAGTTGTTTTTGAAGTATTATTACTTTGACTTATTGTATAAATAAAATTAAAATAGGAATCTGTTGTAAAAGTGGGCCATTATGTGTAAAGGTCACATTTTTATATAAATCTTTGTTGTTTGGATCATGATTTATTTGAAAAGAAACACCAACTTTTGTCTGATTTTTTGTATTTGATAATGAATATAAGGAATCCTTTGCATAATAGTAAAAAAAAAATAGTGTCATGGCAATGCTTTTTTCTATTAATTACACGAATTATTTATGCTAACTACATTTTCAATGTTTTTTTATTGTTAAATCTCAATTTTTATTAAATGATATATATATATATAATACTGTATGATATTTTTTGGGAACAATTACTGACTTTCTAACAACAATTTGCGACTTACTCAAGACATATCATAGATTTAAATTATATAATATATGATTTTTTATTTTTGTCAAATTATAACTTATTGTAATCTGATTATATTAGAAATTCTGGCTAACAAAAAATAGATCTACAATATGAATTGAGCGTGATGTTTGAAATATATCTATTTATAAAAAATAAATTACACTTTTTTATGCTAAATTGTCTTCTATTTTTATATATTTATTAGGTATTTTTTAAGATATTTATGTATATGATTATAGGGCAAATATGCATTTAAATTCCTCAACTTGAAGAAATAAAATGCAGTTGATGGTGATACTAAATTCATCATCAAAATAAAGAGTCTGATCAGTTAAATTTGAATCATGATCTTCAATAGAAGAAAGATAAAGATGCAAACAATCAATCCTCTTTATTTGTAATCTTTAAAGTGTCTAACTCAGGATGATCTAATATCCACTGAACAACACTTTTTTTTTTCCATTTTTTACTGATCATTTTTTTATTCTCATCAAACATTACATGATAATTAATATTTTTTTTTTTTTTTTTAAAGACTTCTACAATAATTATTTATCAAATGAAAACATATTTTTTATATTGAAAACATCCTTCTCAAAAAGCTTGAACGATCCTTGAAAGTGCAACTTTTTTCCAGAAAAATGCATTATCTCTATTGAAATCTATTCAAATTTCTTCATTTAATTTTGAATTCTTTGCTAAGTTACCACTTTTTGAATGATATAAAAATAGTTTAATAATTGAATATTTGAATAAATTGAATTCTAAAATTGATGTTTTTTAAAATAAAAAAATGAGTTATCTAATAATACCACAGATACCACTAACAGCAATTCAAACATCATTGATTAGGAAAAAGTTTACAGAAAAAGAAGATTCAGTTATTGTTCATCTTGTTAATAATTATGGTCCCAAAAATTGGGACCAAATTGCTTTAATGTTACCAGGAAGAACAGGACGTCAATGTAGAGATAGATATTTCAATTATTTAATGCCTGGGTATTTTTATGGAGAATGGACGAAAGAAGAAGATATTTTATTAAATAAAAAATTTAATGAAATGGGACGTCAATGGGCAAAAATGAAACCATTTTTCCCAGGAAGAAGTGCTATCTGTATAAAAAATAGATGGGAATATTTTCTTTCAAAACATAATCAATATTCGAATAATGACAATAAATCAAAAATTCAAGAAGAAAAACATGATATGTCAGATGAAATAATAGAATATAATAAACAAATGGATTTGATTCCTCCATTAAAAACTAAAACAATTCCAATTCATAAAATAAAAAATGGAATAAATATAGCTACACAGACATGTGAGAGTTATTTACTAACGCACAAGAATGAAAACATGTAAAGATTATATATTATATAAAATGTATTTAAAATATTATTAAAATAAAGATTGCGAATTTATTATAGTTCTAACTTTTTAAATTGAAAGCAATTATTTTTTCTGTTGGTTTCTGAGATCTCAAATAATTCAATGACTATTGAATTGTTTCTTAAAAAAAAAAAAACATTCTCAAAATATATATAGAATTGTTTAGGGAAGAGAATGTGGATTTGGGAAGGAGAACACTTAACTATTGTAAAACAAAAATTGAATTATAAATAAAAGTTCATAAGTTTTAATTTATTAATTTCTCTACATTCAAATAGGCATCATTTATAATAATATGAACATATTTATATAATATCTACATTTTATTCTTAAAATATGATGCAATGACAACAGTTGACATCATTCCATTCATTGCAATACAAAATACGAATCATATGGTTGCCAAATTAACATTTTAACAAGAAAAATCATTTAACAATAGTAAATACTGGTGTATAGGATACGGGTCTTCGATAAAATGGACTATCTTCGATATGAATATTATCTTCGTTTAATTGTGCTTAAAAATATTGTTATTGTGCTTTCAAAAATTTGTTCCTTTTATGAATTTTAAAAAAAATTTGAGTTTTTGTTTGGTTGCAAACAAAGCATACCAAATTTAAGTAGAGATTCCTATTTATGTATAATAATAGTTATAGATGAATGATCCAATTTACAATTTCAATCAATTGCTTTTACTCCATTTAAATTTGTTATTTCATCAAAAAATAATTATTATCAAGGATAAAAATAGAGACATAGCTGGTGTAACGGTTAAGCATACGAGTCCACCACACTTGAGATCTGGGTTCGATTCCCAGGCTGTGTATTTTTTCATTTTTTTTTTAAAAAAATAAGGGTTTCAAAATTTCAATAAAATTAATGATTCAAAAAGTTCCAAAATATTTTTGATGGACATCTTTTTTTCGACAGAGAGAAAAGATATTTTCATGATTTTTTCATCTCTTTCATCAATAAAGATGACGAAGAAGATTTTAAAATATTCAAAGATTAATTCTCATGAGATTAAATCATGCTTTTCATTATTTTTTATTCAATTATTAAAAAAGATAAATCTGTTTGAGATCTCGAGATCTCAGTAATTGATATCAAGTTTACAATTATTTTTATATCACATTTCAAATCTGATATCTTGATAATCGATAATCTCGATATCAGATTTTTAAACTGATAATCGAGTATCAGACGTAAAAAAGTGACGTTTTTAATATCGATTCTCAAAATAACAAGCCTAAATAAAATTAAAAAATGTTATTATAATAACATTTCTTTTATTTTTTTCGTTTATTCCATTTTGAATACATATTTGATTATAATTATAATCAGTTTATTACATTGATGTAAACATTCTTTTTTGGGTGTTCGTATACCCTACTTTACCTCTTAAATAGCTGTAAAAGTAATTAATTTCAAAAAGTTAAAAAAAAAAAAAAAATTGAATCATAATTTGGCTGGGCTGATTTTTTATAAACATTACAAAAATTATAAAATGTATAATTTTATATATAAATTAGTTCATTTTTTATAGGATGAGTAAAAATAAAGAACTTCCAGTCGTTTTAGTAATTCATACAGTGGACGAGGATGAAGATTGGTATAAATTATGTGAAGATTGCAAAGACAAATTCAAAATTGAGCAAGCTTCAATTGAAGATATTGGTATTTCATCATATGAAAATTATCCAGTAGTAAGTCTTTTTCCTCCGCAGAAAATCAAATATGAATTTCAAAAAAATAAATTATCGATAAAGCCTGACCTCGTTCTTTTTCGCTCTTGTATTCAATTTATTAGTAAAAGACTTGGCAAGAAGCCAGATTACCGAAATATTCTTTATGGCTTAATTCATAGTAATATTCCCATGATTAACTCATTTGATTCCCTCATTTTTGATTTAGAACGTCCAATTATGTTTGGGATCCTTAAAGGAATACAACAAAGAATTGGTAAAGAAAACTTTCCTCTCATTGAACAATATTATTATTCAGATTCACAAGAAATGATCATATCTCCAAGTGCTCCCTTTGTAATAAAATATTCATTTCCTCATGCAGGATATGGCAAAATTCGGGTTCGTGATGGGCATGATTTTGAAGATATTAGAAGTATTGTTGCAATTGATAATTATTACTGCGCAGCAGAGCCATTAATTGATTCCGAGTATGAAATACGAATTTGTTTTATTGCTCCTGATTATTATCGAGTCCACAAACGCGTTTCATGTGGTTGGAAAGTTAATTACGGATATACAAATATTCGTGAAGACATAGAAATGACGCCAATGTACAAAATGTGGGTCGATGAAGTAAGAAATGCTCTTCCCGGAATGGATTGTTTTGCCATAGATGCAATAATTGATAAAAATGGAAATCATATCATATTAGAAGTAAATGGCTCATCACAAGGCTTCACTCCTGAACACAATGAAGAATGCCTCCAGCACTTAAAAAAATTGGTTATTTTGCGTTGTGAAGAAATTGTTAGTAAGAAAGAGAAACCTTTGGAAAAACCTAAAATTGGCAGCGACTTAGAAATAGAAAATTTAAATCTAAAAAATGAAATTGAAAGCTTAAAAACGCAATTAAAAGAAAAAGATAGAAGGATTAAAGATTTAGAAGATCAAAAGAAAAAGAAGAAAAAATAAATTGAATCATATTTTCTAAGGAACAAATCAAGTATGAATCATAACACTCACACACTCTCTCTTTTATAATAAACTACATTTTTAAGAGTTAATAATAGTTTTATATTATTAATTCATAAGGAAAATAACTTTTGTTTCTCTTTTTTTTTTTTTTTTTTTTTTTTTTTTTTTACATTGTATAAACCATCAATACTTTAGCTGTATTTTGATCAATCTCAAAAAGACTTTATCATTCAAAGTATAATTTAATATCATTTAAAATTTTTGCCTCTCAATGAAATTCAAATGGCATCATTCATTTTATCATATCATTTATAAAATCACATTTGAATCAAATCAATCAAAAGTATATTTTCTAAATCTTTCAAAGACTTTTAAAATACATTAATATTATTATTATTACTGAGCCATCATCAAAAGAAGAAACCTAAATCATCAGAATCAGAATGTGAATCAGATTCATATTTGTTAATTTCGATTTCACTCTTATCTTTTACTTCTTTTACATTGTTTTCTGATGAATATGAAAGAAAACAATCATCATAAATATCATTCGTGATTTTATATGATGTTTTCTTTCTTACAATCAAAACAATAACCGCCAATGTTAAAAAGAAAATTGATGTGGAGCCGCAGACAACACCAATAAACTGTTCACGTGAAATTCTTTTTTTCTTTGGAATTTCTATTGTTATGTATTCTGCAGTATAAGAAGGTGATAAATAGTAAATTATGTAAGGGAAATAATTATAAATATTTGTTTGGGTTAAGATTAATGTGTATTCTCCATTCAAATAACTATACAAAAATGAATATGAATTGCCTAAAGATGCTGACAATGAAACGGATTTTCTAGACACATATGTCAAGACATAACTTACTGAAAAAGTGATCAATTGCGAATCATATGATATTATATTTGATACAAAAACACTTGTAAATTCACTTGATGAGCTGAAAATATTAGATGGAGTAAATTTACTGGATAAACTAAAATCTTCAGAAGAACTAAAAACATTAGATAAATTGAATTCATTTGAAAAACTGAAAAATTTGGTTGCTGTGAAATATTCTGTTAAACTAAATTCATTAGATGAACTAAAGTTTTTTGAATTGAAATAATCAGATGATGAAAATTCATTGGATCTTGTGAATTGATTTGTTGGTGGCAAACATTTTCCATTTGATAAAATGTATCCTTCATAGCATGTCAAGCATTCATTTTCAAGTGGAGGGAATTTTGTTGATGAACAAGATAAACAAGTTTCATGGCATTCTTGGCAAACAGGTGAATTTTCAAAGGAAAAGTAATAATGTTCATCGCATAAATTACATACACATAAATCGCTGTATGTGATGTTAGCACAATGCTCGATTTCGCATTTAATACATTCATTTTCAGAAGTATTATAATAATCATCGCCAAGTTCACTGCAGCTTTCATAGCATTTGTTTTGATATAAATATTGTGTTTCATTACACTCGGTACAATATGAGGCGTTTTTTTCACATTCCTTACATGAAGAGTCGCACATTCGGCATTCATTCCCATCTAAATAAAAATGTTCAAAGCATGATGTGCAAAATGAAGATGTAATATTACATGTATTACATAAATCATCACATTGTTGACATAAATATGATGAATTAACAAAAAATCCATTCATGCATAATAAACAAACTGAGTCATTTTCACATGCATCGCAGTTTTCTGAGCATTCTTGATCAATCTTATATGTGCAAAATGTTTCGTTCATATATTGATTTCTAACCAAAATAATTTGTTCTCGAGGAAATCCAATGGAATTGGCACATTGAGGCTCATATAACCCTCGGAAAATTATTCTAGCAAAATTAGTCGATGCAAAAGCATTTTTCCCGATCGTTGAAATATTAGCTGGAATAATTAAAGTACCATTAAAAGATGTGCATCCTGAAAATGCTGAGTCACCTATCATTTCAACTGAATTTGGAATAATCAATGGTCCTGTGAATTTTGAAAAACCTCGAAATGCAGTGCTTTGAATAGTTTTAACATTTTCTCCAATTGTAAGTGTGCCTGTGAATTCTGAACATCCTTTAAATGAATTCACTCCAATGTCTTTCATCGATTTGCCAAGTATCAATGATTCATTTAATCCAATACATCCACTGAATGCATACCATCCAACTCCAATAACTGAATCTGGAATTATTAACGAACCTGTGAATCCACTACAACCTGAGAATGAATCATCTGCGATATATAAAACTGTATTTGGAATATTCAATGGTCCTTTAAAATTAATGCATTTTGAAAATGTAGATTTTTCAATTCTCGTGATATTATTCGGAAGAATTAATTCAGTAAAATTAGAACATCCTGAAAATGCTGAGTCACCTATCATTTCAACTGAATTTGGAATAATCAATGGTCCTGTGAATTTTGAAAAACCTCGAAATGCAGTGCTTTGAATAGTTTTAACATTTTCTCCAATTGTAAGTGTGCCTGTGAATTCTGAACATCCTTTAAATGAATTCACTCCAATGTCTTTCATCGATTTGCCAAGTATCAATGATTCATTTAATCCAATACATCCACTGAATGCATACCAACCGATTTCTATTACTGAATCTGGAATTATTAACGAACCTGTGAATCCACTACAACCTGAGAATGAATCATCTGCGATATATAAAACTGTATTTGGAATATTCAATGGTCCTTTAAAATTAATGCATTTTGAAAATGTAGATTGTTCGATTCTCGTGATATTATTTGGAAGAATTAATTCAGTAAAATTAGAACATCCTGAAAATGCTGAGTCACCTATCATTTCAACTGAATTTGGAATAATCAATGATCCTGTGAATTTTGAAAAATCTCGAAATGCAGTGCTTTGAATAGTTTTAACATTTTCTCCAATTGTAAGTGTGCCTGTGAATTCTGAACATCCTTTAAATGAATTCACTCCAATGTCTTTCATCGATTTGCCAAGTATCAATGATTCATTTAATCCAATACATCCACTGAATGCATACCATCCAACTCCAATAACTGAATCTGGAATTATTAACGAACCTGTGAATCCACTGCAACCTGAGAATGAATCATCTGCGATATATAAAACTGTATTTGGAATATTCAATGGTCCTTTAAAATTAATGCATTTTGAAAATGTAGATT